GTTGAGCTATAGGCGCCGAGCCCTTACAACTGTCTTAAAGGCGAGGAGGCTGACCTGCGAGAGGCCACAATTAGTATACCCACTGAAGCCACTCACTTTCGGAGCTGCCCTTCCCCTAAATAAGACAAGTCAGAGACCTCTGGGTGGGAGCCCTGAAGCGATCTTCTCCTGGGGTCTGCAGAGACTGAGCCGAGTTCAGAGCCAGCCCTCAACATGTGTCGTGTGACCTCGCTCACCTTTATCACAACCGCCGCAGCAGCTTCGACATCTAGCCAAATGCCTACACTTCCAAGCCGACTTTGTACAAAGGTGCCGGCTCAAGGGCCAAGGGACCGACTGCAGAACTGGGGCCGCTCCAGCCGCCCCTCCCGGCTCCCGAGTGGCCTCGACGCCCAACCACAGCGGAGGGTCCTCCGGAGCCAACAGACTGAGGCTGCAGGTTAGTCTAACTGTCCGCATAGTTTCATTTATCAATTTGAAAATAAAGTAACCCCTCCCCCAAACCGCGTCACCTTCCCGTCCAGTCCTCAGTGTCAGGACTGAAGGTCTCCCGAGCCCAGTCGCGCCGTCCGGGCCGACCCGAGCTTGCTCTCTGGGGCGGGCGGAGGTAGCGAACGCAGAGAAGCGGCCGGCCCTCCGCGCAGGCCCCCGGCCGTCTGTACGCCCGAAGCGTACGGGACTCACCAGCTGGCCGGGTGACGGGCGCCCGCCTCCCCGAGGGCAGCGCAGGGCCCCCAGCGCGCGGAAGTGCGCGGCGCAGCGCCTCAACATGGCTCCGGCGCGCGCGCGCTCACTTGGCGGAAGACGCGCCTGTGCGCCAAACCGCCTGCTCCCTACTGTTAAATCAGGAGGCGGGAGGAGGGCGGAGCGCGGCGGGAGGAGGGCGGGGCGGGGCGGGATCCCCCCGGAGGGCGGGGCCCCGGGAGCCGGGCCGTCCGACTAACTTGTTGCCGCATCCTGCTGGCTCCGGAGGACTCTGCTGTGGCTGCTGAGCGCTGAGGCCACTTAGGAGCCGGGAAAGCGCAGCTGGAGCAGCCCCAGTTACGGCAGTCCGCCCCTTGGCCCTTGAGCCCGCACGCTGAAACCATCTATATTAAAATAATGCAGAGCCACAAGAAATATACAGTAATCAAGGTCTGATTTTTATAAAAAGTACAGATACAGCCAGCAGTTAACCAGCCGCTGCTTCCTAACGTCCTTGATACTTTGGTTACTTG